CTTCTTCCTTTCTACTGTGTGTTCTGTCCACTCTTGTGGCTTTTCAGACTTTCCTTTCTTGACCTCACTGTTCTCAGAACTATGTGCTATTTCCTGTTCCTGCAACCCTAGTATGGTTTTTATTGGCCACTTTCTCATCCCTACCTTCCAGTATTTACAGGAGTGACACAAAGCTGCTTGTGGCATTATAAACAACTTTTGGTGACTCAGCTTTCTCCAAATCCTTTTCATTTCAAGGATGAAGTTAAAAAATAACTGGAAGCAGCATTTGCGAACCAAGAAAAGTTAACACATACAATGTGTTTTCATGAAGATCATGAAAGCCTCTTGCACTCCATTGCAATGACATTTTTCTCCTTTTAGTTATATGTCTGCAGTTCTAAAATATAACAAAGGAAGCCTGTTCCTTGAAGTTTGGATCAGATGTGCTTTATAGAAGAACTGTGGAGTATTGTATATTTTTGAATATTATGGATGTATGCTTCCTTAGAAGTTTATGAATGTATACACTGATGCTGTCAATAGGTCTCTTAATAACACAGTGTGTTTTTTGTAAGCATGCAGGCTTCCCCGAGAGATGCAAAAGTGTCTGAGTGCACACTGACTCAAGCAAAACTTAGCGTAGTAAAATAAAGCTTGTTTCTTTGATGGAGGATGAAAACTAGTTTGTAATGTCTAACATTGCAGGAAAAATGAAATATGACTGTTTGTTTATAGAACTGAAAATCTGGTTTTAGGTGAGTGCTGGTAGATGAACTGCTTGGAGTGAGGGGTTTGGAGAGAAGGGGAAGATGTCATGTAATTTTTTTGTTCTGTATGGGCAGTTTTACCAAGTCTTACATTTTCTTCTCACCTACTGCTTTTCTTCATGCTTCTCTCAACTCTGTTGAAAGGGGAAATGTTGCTACAGCATAACCCAGTTTTGAGGGGTTATCACAAGATATTTTGCTGCTGAGTGTGTATCTCCTTGGTAAAGCAAGGGCTCTGAGGTTAGTGTGATGAAAGATAACTTTCCCTGCTTTCATTGACTTTCAGTACTCTGCCTGCTTCTTGCAAATGAGCTGGAGTTGCTCTGGGAGACTTAATGCCCTTTTTCGTGCTTGGAAAAAGGAGGCTGGCTTTGGGCAACAGAAGAAGCTCTCTTTGAAGGCTTTCCCTCTTGCTCTGGGCGTGCTCTAGGTGAAAGTCCAAGGCATCATGAAATATATTTATCTTGGCTGGTGAGCTGGTCGATGGACAGGGTGGGAAATGTTCACAGATGCCAGGGAGGTGGTAGTCTGCACATGCAGAGCCTGTAAGGACAAGCTGTTGCCCAGTCATGCCATTTGCATTGTTATCCGGATGACAGAGGGGTCTGAATGGCCTGCTGACTCCTTCTGACGATTGGTGTCCCATGGTGTGAGGGCTGACTTCTGAGAAACCGCAGCTGTGAGCTCTGTGCGATAGCCTGCCAGCTTAGCCAGGAGGAAATGGATGACAGAGCAAGCTGTGTGCGCTGTACTGCAACAGGTCAGGACAACTGACTGCTTCATATTAGTTTCTAAAGCTGCTAAATGGCTCATGAGGCACGTGACTATGCCTGCGTTTTCCATGGGCCTTTCCTGGGGGTCAGTTTCTGCAGGGCAGCTGTGCAGAGAGCCTAGCAGGGCAGGCAAGAAGGGGCCAGCATGGGGCTGCTCTCTGTAGCTCAGCTGCTGACGCTTCCTGGAGGGGAGCATATTCTTCAAGGGGAAATGTGGTTGGGTTTCTTGGACCGCATCTCCTCCCCTTGCTGCTCTTCTCACAAGTATTTCAAAGACCGTAGAGTGTGGCCTGAGGTAGCCTTCCTTTGTTTAAAGGGGAAGAGAAAGGGCCTCCAGCCAATGCAGAGCCATTTATAATCACGAGCTATTGACCAACAGCAGATGCTCATGGAGAAGCTCAATTCAGGTATTTATTTAACTTTCTAATGAGTCTGATCTCCTCAGTGAGGGCCTCTCTAGCCTTGGTATCCTTACAATGACGTAACTGCTGAATCTGTATATGCAAATAGGTTGTTATTACTTGAGTATCTTAGTGAGTGGGAAGCCTGATTTAACAGGTCCCTTTAGACCATGGATATTATAGGGTATAATGGGATGGTTTCCTCTTCCAGTGCTTGCCTGTTCACAAGTCAGTAGCATGTGACTGAAACTTGCGTGATGACTATAACATCACTGCTTATGTAGACACTTGTTGCTTTGCAATTTCAGAATTTTCTGAATGAAAAAACAGTTTAATAATTAATACCCAAAACTCCAAGTGCCTGTTTCATCAGCTGTTAGTCCAATTACTGATTAACATTGCTTGTTTCTTCCCTTATTACCTAACAACTCTGTTCTCTACATGTGACCTCCGGGCAGTCAACTCTTGTCACAAAAATGCAGAAGTGCAAGACCGGGTCAGGCAGAGCCAGCACTTTTTAAAAGCTTAGGTTATTCTTTATCTGCTAAATTGTTTCTAGTATCAAATATCAGTAAAGCAGAGAGAGTGAGGAGCTTGTTCTCTTCTTGCTCCCATCTTATTGTTGCTTACTGTAGATGTTATAGTTGAGATCCACAGCTTTAGGTTTCATTTTTCTCTGAAATGGACTACATGTTGGGCAAGTGAGGTACAAATTACCATGCTAATGGTTTCATATTGGGATGGGGATGATGTCCTTTGCATCAGGGTGCTGGCAGGTGTCAGCTTCTGCATGTATTGCAGGAACATTAATGCTTTGCTATAATTTGGTCATCATTGACTCATCTGCAGTGAGTTTAGTCTTTCTTATTTAGTCATATTAGAAAAAACCAACAGAGATTAGAGACACTATTTTAGTAACAGTAGTCCCTTCCCCTCTTCCCCAAAAGACATTGTGTCTTGCTCTGCATGTGCCAAAAACCTGATGTGATAGCTGTCATGTAAGAGAAGGATGTGGGACCAGTACTTTTTTTCCTGTGCAGCTGGGCAGCCTGGGACTCCCAGGTGGGAGCAGTTCCCCTTTCCCTAACATAATTGTTCTTAGGGAACTGAGGTCTAGCTCTTGCAGCTGATGACTTTGAACAGTATCAATTAAAGTACTGAGTTAAGGAATTAAAAATTCTCTGTCCGTTTTCTGTAATACTTAGTTCCAGTCTCAAAATCCAGAAGAGCACCTTCAGTACATAGCTTTGTGTCAAAGTAGTTTCTTAGTAAAATCTGCTGATTTGTGCTGGTGCAGTATTAAAATCTTTTTGCTAAATTACATGTACTGTTCTAGGTTTAAGAAATGTTGATGGTGATGCCTTACTTGAACTTCAGAGAGCTGCAGATTTTTGGCTCTACTCTATTTACAGCAAACATTAAAATGTCAGTCTACTTGTATTCATGTCAGTAGGCTTACCTGGCATGTGGTATGTTTTATGTACTTAAACATATGTGCACCACTATTTGTGACAAAAAAATTAAGCTGAATGATTTGCTAAAAAATTGTGGCTTAAAACCTGTCTCCTGAAAGCAAAGCAATGTTCATATAATTCATAAAATCACATTTAAATGTGTAGGAAATAAAAAAAAAGTATGCGACAAAGAATTTCAAATATCCTAAGCTTAAGTCTTTGATAATAATAATGATAATGTAGTAAACTAGATTTAAATTCCTCTCTAACTTCTTCACTAACTAGCAGGACATTAACTCCTAATAGAAGCCTGCTGTAATAACTTTGGCTCTCTTGGATTGGGGAAACTTCATGTATCCAGAGGTTGAGAGATTCTGAGTAAAAGGTGGGCTTTTGGCACCTTCACTGTATGGATGCCACAAGTTAGTGTGGTTGTTCACTTAGATCTTTCCCATCAGGACTGCACATTTAAAATAGGACATTTATAACTAATATAAAAGCTCTACCAGTCCAAATCTGAGACTTTATCTAGTAAATAATTTTTACTGCTCTTTGCAGATGTGTTTTACAATAAGTAGTAAATAACAATTTGCGAGGTATTGTCTTAAATCCTTTTTCAAGGTTGGAAAAAGTTGCCTATAGAAGGTAGAGTTTTAAGAATTCATGCTTCTAACAAATGGAAGTTAGTGACTTTCACCCTATGTCTTGGGAATTGGATAGAAAGAAGTGAATCAAATGAACTGAGAGGTAGAAACTAGACAAATCATTCTCTCTACTGTTTCTTTTCTCTAGTATTTCCTGGCAGGGGTAAGAGACCTGTAATCTATTTAATCTATCCTTGCAAGTTTGTTTTTTTTACAGCCAGTGATATAAATTAGTTTTTGTTTGCTCTTCCATGCTGTTACTGGGAAACATGAATGAGAACCTTGTTTTGTACACACAGATTGTGAGGTTACATGTGTTTACTTCTACTGTGGGATCTGTTTGGGTAGAGTACTGTTATTTTTCAATGAAAAGGCTGTGGTACTTTTCAGTTTCACTCTTGTATAGATACAGGAGTTTATAGTTCTTGCTTGAGGAACAAAATCGCTTTATACTGCCTTGTGTTGTGTTTTGTCGACACAATAATGAACTTGACAGTTGGGGTGAGCAACATAAGCAGGATCCAGAAAACTAAAGATATTACTGAAATAGTTTTCTCTGTTTGCTTTAGGAGAGGAAGACTAAAGGCTACTGACCATCCTATTAGGAGCTCAGATAGAGTCAGTTGAGTCTAGTTGCCAGTTGTTCTTTTAGAGACTGGGATACTAATTTTCCTATCTAACAGGAGAAGGGACTATCCATTTCAGCAGAGAGGCACTATTGTTAGTTTTGTAAGCAGGTCTGATGCTACTCCAGCACTTTTGTGTCTGTGTGAATGTTTCCCAGTAATCCTCTTAAGGGAAAGAAAGAGGAAGCTCTGTAGTTTCCCTTTCTGCAACTAGATTCCCTTTTCTGAGCATTACTTTGAGAAGAATAGCAAGTTTCACCCTACCACTCCCCTGGCTGTTTCTCAGGATGGATGTATGTGACACAATTTTGGCAAAGGGTGGAGTGATAGAACAGGACTTTGCTTTGTTTCAGACTCGGGCTGTGACTCTGTGACTGATACAGAAACAGAAGACGAGAAGAACCCAGTTTTCTCCCACAGACTTGTCATGGGTGAAGACCATGGATCATCCAAGAGCTCTGGGGACCATCCAGTGGTGCAGCCTGACCGCATACGGTGTGGGGTACTGTATGCCTACTCCTTGGGCTATGTTCTTACTATGGACTGGTGCAACCCATTAGGCTGTTCTGTAATGCACAGTTTTACAGGCCTGGGAATTAGTCTCTAATTCCTTTTCTGTCACGTTTGCTTTTATGCCCATCTTCAGTGTCATTATTGCATGAGCTTGGTTCCCTATGCCCAGAAATAGCTTGGTGACATAGAGTACCAGTGTTATCAAGGCTGCAACTTCAGTTACTGATACATAATCTCATTAACACAGCTGCTTGTCTTACGTGCTGTGAGGCAGGTTCACACTCTTGACTTCCTGTCTTTCTATCTCATGAAGTTTAGGGGTGACAAGTGGAGTAAGGGAATTGTAATGAATCAATAACTCCACAGCCTGGATGCAGTCTAATAGGACAATTCTGGTGCCTGAGCTGCAAGTCAATCTGAAGAACCTGGATCATGGCTTCGTGCCTGAAAAAAACCAGCATTTCTTAGTATAATATCTCCTCAGATGGAAAAAGCTGAAATTTCTTCTTTTGGTTCTTTATAGAACAGGGCTGTGCTGCTTGATGAAAGAGAGTGATAGGGGTGAAATGAAATAATTTATAAATCTAGCTTTAATAACTTTATAAATCTAGCTGATAAATCTGGAGTTTTATCAACTTAATGCAGGTACCTATATGCTGGTGCAAGCTGTAAAAGAGGTCACCTGCTCGGTTACTCCATCACTAGAAGATGTTATGGAAAATCATTCAGGATCATGAAAATGACATTATAATTTGTGTTAGTTACAATGATTAAAAAAATCCACAGAGAAGGAATTTAACACAGTATTAAGTATTCTTATGTTGTGAACCTGCATGTTGTAATGTCTTTTAGGTGCAGACAACAGTTTATATCATCATGAAATGTAAACTAGATGGCGAAGTAAAAACTGAAGTTGCATTCTCTCCAGAGAACTCATCCTCTGTGCGTGTGCTGGCTGAGGTGGAGAATGAGTACACAATCTCTGTGGAGGCTCCAAGTAAGATGGGCTAAGATTTTCACCCTCTTGCCCCTTGCTTCCTGTCTGTCTCAGCCTGCCTGTCCTGAAAAGTTCAAGATGGATAAGGGTAAAGGTTACAGTGTAAGAAAACTTGAGGCCAGGAAATCTTGAAGTTGCATTCTTATCTGTGATACTTTTGTGATGAGGAGCTGCTGCTTGGGGGCTCTGTTTTCCCTTCAGCAGTAGCAGGGTTGAAGTGTGGAAACACCCCACTAGGAATTCTGAGAGCATATTGCAGCTTGTAAAACCCTTTGATCTTGACTGCCTGTTATAACCACCACCTTAGTATTGGCAGGGCACCAAGAGAAGGTAAGTGCCAGTAAATAATTGCACAACTTTAACACTATGTATCTAATGTGTGAGGATCTCACTGTGACCAAAGCTGATCTGTTTATCCTGTCTTGCCTTTTTATTTAGATGTTTTCTGTCACTCTAGGTATTTACATTTATAAAACTGTAAGTTGTCTAAACTTTAGGTTCATTAAACCTTAGGGTCAAGTTTTCGAGCCTTACAGAGTAATAGTAGTTTCCCAGTGTGATTTATTTAATCTACTTTGGTCTGTCCTCTTTGAAGAGTCACTGTGCCAGCTCTGTGAATACAGACCAATAGTCATTATAGCAACTCCTGTAAAAGTCATTGAGGAGGATTGATTTAAAGGTGACCTCACCCACATAAAAGTGTTCAACTTAATCTGTTTTCAATCAAGAGTTATAAGATAAACATGGACCTGGAAACTAACTTGCACTTTGAATTATAAACATGACCTTCACATTGATGGAGTGTATGACTGTAAGTTCTGTAGTTTCTAACAGCAAATAAGTATTTTTAAATTCCTTCCATGTTTCACTATTTTTCACCAGTTCCTGAGTCGTTAACAGCAAAACATGTATATATACATACATATACATACAGATGTATGCATATATATACAGGAAAAGAGTGATTTCGGTGGCATTCAAAATATTTGTGTTTCAAGAGAAAGTTCAGACATGTGAATGCACACTGGACAAAACATCAAGAAGTTCCCAAGGTGCAAGTAGGAAAAATCCTGTTCAAGGGTAAAGTTTCAAAGCTGGAACCCTTTTATTTATTTTGTTCAGAGACTAGTGGGGATTGCAAAATCCCTAGTGACTTTTCTGATTTCTCTCCCCTTCTTCCCCAGCTCTCGTGTTTTATGGTACAGTTTAGAGACTGCTCCAGAGAAAGCCAGGGGTGGAGAAATATGAGGCTTTCTAGTTTGAGGTGATGCACTGTTAACATTAGTGGTCCAGACTACTGTTAGCAGAGGACCTAGCATATCTCAAGGGGTGTGCATTGACATAGCTATGAAAATGGTAGTTCCAAAGTACTTCCCTGCCTACTGTTCAGACCAACTTTTTTTTTTTACAACTCTTCATGAATTCAATACAACAGAAACTGTTTTGGTATCCAGCTGTCAATATCTTCATACTTCTCCTATCCTTACGGTATTTGATGCAGACTCATTCCCATTGCTTGTTTTTAATGGTGATTTCTTTTTTCTTTTCAAAGATTTAACTTCTGGGACAGTGCCTGTGCAGATATACTCGGGGGATTTGATGGTGGGAGAGACAAGCGTCACCTATCATACTGACATGGAGGAAATCAGCAGTCTGTTGGCTAATGCAGCCAACCCAGTACAGTTCATGTGCCAGGTAAGGACTCTAGCAAACAGCTGCTTTGGAAACCCACTCTTTCAGAGGCTAGACAAGTGGACATAAGCAAAATAGGTTGCCATGAAGTAACTCTTCAGAAATGAAGGAAAGCAAGGTTATTTAGGGATTTTCACATAACCTTAACATCCTGTTTTAGTGAAAGCGTGAGTGCCTATCTCTGGAGCAAAAGTTTGGCTCAAGTGACTCATGCTATCCAACTAACAAAAAAAATGCAGTCAACATACACATTTAGACTTTGATGACTTGAAAAGATTGGGATGATAGAACTTGTTATAACAAAGTACCATAAAGAAATAAACTGTTTGGAAATTTGTACATAAGCGTTCTTGGAAAAGATGTGAAAAGGTAGCAAAGATTCATAAAAGCTGAATGAAGCAGAGTTTGTTCTTAGCACTTATTTCTTTAAAGCCACTTCTGAGTTCTAATATCATATTTTGCAGAGTTGGGGTACCCAAACCCTACTAGAAGGGGTAAAGCTTGCACAAGCAAGTTCTCCAGATGTGGTGCTGTTGCTGCCTGCATGTCACTGATCAGCCACGTAGCAGAAGCCAACAAGAGTAGTGTTGTTAGTCACCAGAATTCTTGGGGCAGGGGAGACTCTCTTCCCCTCTCTTTTTAGCAAGTTGTGGAGTGATTGTGGTGGGTTGTGCCTCTATTTGGGGAACAGGCATGCTTTCCAGTCTTTGGCCAAGAACCAGTCCAGAAGCAAACCCAGAGGGTACACCAGGGTGATTAAAAATGGACTAGTTCATACTTAGAGCAGGGAGTGACATTTAATTGGGACATTTTCAGAAGTAAGGTTATACCTGTCAAGAAAGCAGGAAGTAACAGTTTTCTGTGCCTCTAGTTGAATGAGTGACTTTCTCATTGTATTCTGTCTCATTGTGGAGTGTACAGTCCTCATCTGCTCAGCTTAGTGATATTTGTTTCTGGACCAGGAACCTATTAATATTCTTTGCTTGACCTGAACATTGCTACCTTCAGTGTTTATGCCTACTGTTTTCTGATATGTGCTCAATAAATAAACACCTTTTAGGTCTCACCTTAACTGAATCTCCACACTCCACCAAACAAAATCACTTTACGTTTATCTCTAGGCCTTTAAAATTGTGCCATACAGCATAGAAGCACTGGACAAACTGTTGACTGAGTCACTCAAGAAGAACATTCCTGCCAGTGGCTTACATCTGTTTGGAATCAACCAGCTGGAAGAAGAAGATATGACAACAAGTAAGTTGATTTTTTTTTTTTTTTATCTGTATGAGTTTTTTTTACCTTGGAGCTCCTTAACCTTGCAATGTGTGGTACCTGCACAGGCTGTCTACAAAATCTTGGATCTCAGCCAGGAAGCTAGATTTCTGAAGATGCCTACAGAATTGCTATTTGGATTGGGTGACCCTCTCTTTTTAATCATGAATCAGTCTCACTTTGTTGCAGTGTGACAGATGCAGCTATGTAGACAGCTTCAAACACAACTGAAGTGAAAAGACGATGCTCTTCAAAATGTCTCCCATATTTTCTCCTTTGTTCTTCACCCAGTCCCATGTGGCATTTCTCTCCAGTCCAGTCCTTTCCCCCCAACCCTATGACTGGACTCTGAGGTGCACAGTGAGTACTCAGCAGTTGGAATGGTGTGCCACCATGACACGACTGCCTTACAGCAGCTTGATCCTACTGAAATGATGGTCTAAGAGGTCCTTGCAGATCTATGATCCTACATACATTAAGCTGTTACAGTGCCAGATTCCCTGCTAAAGCTCATAGCCTGGAGATATGCTATACACCTCCGTTAATTTGTGCAGAGTTAGGTCCATTTTGATACTCTATATATACTTCTCAGGGCTTTCACATCTGCTTTGGTGTCTGTGGTAGGAATTTTGTTTCTCACCTACTGGCTCTGTTGCTGCTAAGAGAGAAACTTGGATTCTAACAGTCTCCTCTTCTCACAGATCAGAGGGATGAGGAGCTGCCAACACTGCTTCACTTTTCTGCAAGATACGGGCTGAAGAACCTCACTGCCTTGCTGCTCACATGCCCTGGAGCTCTGCAGGCCTACAGTGTAGCCAACAAATATGGCCACTATCCAAACACCATAGCAGAAAAGCATGGTTTTAAGGACCTCCGCCAATTCATTGATGAATATGTGGTAAGAACAAGCAGCAATCTTTCTGCATTGTCCCACAGCAGGTGTGGGCCCTGACACCAAACTTGGCACTTAGTGTTGTTAGAGTGATTGGGGTAATAAAGGGTGCAATTTGGTGTGGTAGGGTGTAGAAGACAGACATCCAGCCGCATGGAAAGCTTCCAGGCTGGAGGGCTGGGTGCATCTCTGAAGCTGGGGAAGTATTTGCACAGAGCAAACGGAAGCAGAGACTGCCATGTTGTGCTTCCTTGTCATTCATCTGTATAATGAAGTTTCTGTGGGGTTTTGGTTGGTGCCTGGTGTACTCTTCTAACCTGTGACCTTGGGAAAACTGCAGCCGCTTCATCCTACTTAATTTAGGGAGAGTATGTTTGGAAAGGTACAATCTGAGGTGCTCTCTGTTTAGTCATAGTACAGTCTGGATTGCTTATTAGCTTGTTGACAGGTAATCTGTGTAGTCTGCCTGCTCCACTTGAAATCCATTTCTTCCTGAGCTAGGATGGCTGTACATTCCCTATTTGTTCTCTCTGGAAGCCAAATTCACAATTCAGTTCTCTTTGAGCTAACCCCATCCCCAGAAAGCAGCACTCTTACTTTTCTAGATTATGACATGACTCCAGCTGCACCAGGCAATTGTTTCTGGAGTCCTTTGGTGTGCATATGGTTTATCCTTTCTTTTCCATTTGAGTTGTTTCCAGCCTGTATGATTCAAAATAACAATCAGCTCCTTGACTTGGATCACATGAATTCTTGAGTAGATTTTATTTACCTTTGTTTTCATTTGAAAAACGGTGTGTAAATGTCCTAACAGTTGTCTGAATGGGATCTGCCAGCCTTAGTGTGGTTCTGGCAGCCAACCGCAGTGGTGTTTAAGCCCTATTTAGGAGAAATGAGTGGCTCTTAGACTTAGGACTTGCTTCTTAACAGGCATGTGAATTTAGGCTTATATGTTAGAGCTAAATAAAGGTGATTCCCTGTGAGATCAGGAGGGCTGCAGAAACTGTAAATTGTGTGATTAAAATTTTTGCATTGAGGTAATTGAGACATGCTTAAGAAGTCCTTCCAACCTGTTATTGCAGTATTGTGCTTCTCCCTTGTCCTTCTCTCCACTAATACAATGACAGAGCTGTGTTAAGAGTAGGTCCTGCATACTGACCATCAAACTATCTGTGGAATTTAGTACGAGAGCTCTCAAATTATCTGTGCCAGTGTGTCCACTGCAAGGTAGTGACTAGAAGCAGTACTGGTATGGTTATCTGAAAATACCAGTAAACCCTTTTACTCACCTAATTTTCTATCTGGCAAAAGTTCCCCTGCACCTCCCTAAAGCATTGCATGAGCTTATCTGCCATTTTGGCTGTGGAGGGGAGTATGTGTAGATGGTTTTGACACATGTGCCCTGTGGATTGAAGGCCCACAAGGTGGCAGTTGTGGATGGAAGAATATCTTTTAGTACTGTAACCAGTTAAGATGGCTGTGCTTGTGGCATAGTTGGAACTTAGGGGGGAGGCTGGGATGAAGCTTTAAATTTTGGTCCCGTGCATGGTTTGGTGAAGATCTGCACTGCCTTCCTTCTTCAGCCCCCCAGCCCATGTTGCAAATACGTGAGAAAGGGTTCTGCTGTCCTGTGAACTGAAAGTTGCCTGTTATTACATAAACAGCTGCCTGCTGTGAGGTTTCCTGTTAGTCTCACAGAAAAGGGTCTGTGTACTCCCACTTTGGGTGTTACTTGCTACTTCTAATGCCAAGAAAATGAAACTGAGTCTACACCAAAGCTAAAACCTTGCTTTCTTGTAAGTGCTCTGCATGTGGCAAACCTTACCCCTTATGGTCAGCTACGCTTACCCCAAAATAGGCTTTGACAACTCTTTTTTTCTTGCCCTCCTTCCTCTCCAGGAAACTGCAGATATGCTGAAGAGTCACATTAAGGAAGAGCTGATGCAAGGCGAGGAGGATGAAGCTGTTTATGAATCCATGGCTCATCTGTCCACTGATCTGTTAATGAAATGCTCCTTGAATCCTGGCTCTGATGAAGAGCTTTATGAATCCATGGCTGGATTTGTCCCTGGTGCCCCAGAAGATCTTTGTATGTATATTCATAGAATTACAGAACTAAAGCTCATCTAGTCCAATCTTTTTGTAATGAGCAGAGACATCTCCAACTAGATTAGGGAGCTCAGAGCCCCTGTCCAAGTGGCCTAAGCTGATCCATCTCTCATATGTAGTAACAACCTGGTTAAGTTTCAGAGTAAGGACTGGTTAAAGCTTTTCTGCTCTTACCACAAGGAAACCATGCTCTAGTTCTGATGTTGGCTGGCTGATAAAATTGCTCTCAATCTTTCTTTGATTGGCATTGTACAAGATCAAGAGCTGTTTCCTCAGTGCTTTGAGGACTCCCTGAACCCTAGGCAAATTAATTAGCATTTGGAAGAGATCCAAAATTTTTACCTGCTTCTCCTTCCTCGGATCCAGGGAGTTAGGGACTCTCTGACTTATAGACACTGGTGGAATAGAACACTGTATAAGGTAGGAGGTAGGAGTTCCCCTGACAGGTAGGAGTTTACTGACAGCTGGGAAACTGAAAATGCTTGGGAGCAAAATAAAGTGAACATCTAGAAATGTATTGAGAAGATTATAATAGAAAAGTCATTATTCTAATCCACTCTAAAAATATAGAGCTAATTCTGATCCACTTGGTTTCTTGCTAAAAATATAGAGCTAATTCTGATAAATATGCAGGTGTTTAACTTCTTCACCATCCATTAATATTTGGTGAGGCCAATTGCAAAGATCAAGTACCTGTGTTGAGCAATTGTAATTTTGCTGTTCTTACTTATCTGCCTATTTGGTGTGGCTTCCTCCCACTGATACATTTTATGATTCCCATGATGAGCGAAGAATATAGCTTATTATCGTTTAAATACCTGCTTAAGGACTTGTAGTGTTTCTGCAGTTTTAAGTGTGCTGCTGCCTCAGGGGAAAATGTCTTGTTTCTTCTTCCCTGCTGAAGGTCCCTCAGTCTGCTCAGTTGCTTTTGTGTGTGTGTCCCTTGCCTATCTCTGTAAAACAAGCCACATTAAGTTAATCAGTTCAAGGATTCAGGTTTTACTGCCATCACTTACTCTGACAGATCTTAGGGGAGGGAGGTCAGGTGGTGTTTTGGATGGATACACAAAACCCAGCCTGCTTGGCTGACAGGCGTGGAGATGAAGAGCTAGGTAAGGTTGCCATGGGATGGAAAATATTGTCCTTTATGGAAATATATGTCCTTTAAGGGAAGCTTATGCAAGCACAGCCATGTCAGCAGCGTGGTGCAGGTCTCTGGGATTAGCCCCAGAAAGTTCTTCTGGTGTGCAAGTGAGCAGCAGGCACTTCAGGGCTAGTAGGGCTAGAAAGGTAAAAGCCCAAGCTGTCTCTAAGTACTTATGATTCCTTTACTTAAAAGCAGAGCTGCATGAGTCTGTGTTTTAAAATGTTTTCCTCCTTGGTGAGATGTTGTATATGGCTTACCTGGAATACTTCAGCAAGGAACGTGTTTCCTCCTTCTGGGCTTCTCCCAGTGGTATTGCTTCTGCACACATATCTGTTACCTTCCACTCATGAGTCTTTTACTGAAAATATCTCAAAGGTGTTTTGATACTTAGAATACCAGCACACAGGCAAATCCTCACTGAAATTATTGGGAGTGCTGGCTGAGTTAGAACTGCCATCACAAATAAAGGCTTCAGACGTTTGTACTGACTTCAAGGTTTTTGAGGATGAAAAACTCCCTAGGGAATCACAGTCAACTTCTACTGAGGTACTTTTTCCAGGTCAGAGTTGCCCTTATGTGAATAGTTATGGCTGTGGTGTAGAGGACAATACGTGGGATATTTTAAGAGTAGCCGTATTGTGGCAGCATGCCCATTTGTTGTGTGCTTCCACCACATTTTTTCTAGAGATTGATCAAAGGAAGGTTAGATACCACAGGGTCAATTTGTCTGGCAGGAACTGGTTTGAGAGTAAGGTAACACAGGACTGGAGTAATTGTAATGAGTTTAAAGTAGCAGCAAATACTTGAATACCAGGGTGTTCTGTTCTTTTATTCATCCTCCCACTTCTGATTTTTCAGTGCATTTTTATGTGGTGTTTCTTTTTTCTCTCTGCATTTTGCCCTGGTGAAACATTTACAGAGAAACTGCAGAAGCTGTGCAAGGGCCAAATTTTGTTTAAAATGATGCTGTAGGAGAGTTATACCTGTGTTGAGTTGTTACTTGTCTCTTTAAATGTTAAGATAAATGATGGAATTTTACGAAGTGGAAAAGGTTTTGTTCATCTACAGATCACTGCCTCCCTTTCTGCTGGAGGGGAGTGTTCTTTCCCAGGCGGGTCTTAATGCTCTGAGCAGTGTAGATCATAAAGGACTCCTAAGCAAATCAGTGGGAACTTACTAGTTCCTGCTGTTGCCTTGTTTGCTGTTCTTTGAGATTCAATTGCCTCATTTAATTTTTTATTGTTAATCTAATTGTTCACATTTCAGAAGAGCACTTCCCTCTTATTACACTTTAATACCTGTAAAGTCAAACTATTTTCCAGAATATGCTCAGATCGGTGCAGGTTGCAGGTCATTTAGTGGAGTTACTTGCACTGTAATGAACAGCAGCTGAATAGCAAACAGGGAGAGTTATTTCCATCATCAATCTGGTTGTATGAACTACAGCATCAGATAAAGTGCTTTGTTTTTTCTGCTTTCCTTTCACCAGCACCTCCTACTGTTTTCTGCAAAATGCTATTTTGAGTAGGCTAGAGTTATGTGCAGGAGGGTCTTGAGAGCAAGTACTCTTGAAAGTGCTGAAAACCTACTCAATTTGTATAAACATGAAACTGCTTGGTTTGTGTGTGTGTTGTTATGCTGTTGGTGACAGGGACTATTTTCTCTGTCCAAAGCTAGGCAGTGGCCAAGGGCTGGTAGAAACAAGTCTGGACTTCAGCATTGTTTCCATATCTCTTAATTGTGTGGACACTCAGATCCTAGATAGTGTAAGCTTCATGCAGAGATTTAATCTTTTATTCTAGAGTTTCAACTGACTGAAATCTGTTGTCCTGTGATTTGCAGACCTCCAACACCTAAAGAATAGATGTTAATTCACATAGGAATAAGTTGTGATGCCTTTATTCTTGCCCTCTCTTGCACATCCTCTCCCTCCTCCATAATTTTTATTCTCTTGAGACGGATCTTTCAACACTATCTTAATTGATTTTTATTTTTTCCTTAGTTAATGCAAGAAACAGCAGCTTCCTTGTCATCCTGGAGCAAACTGAGAGAACTGTGCACAAGAATATAACTGCTTATAAAGTTCTGAGTTGTAATTTATGCCAACATTGGAGCCTTTGTCTTGCATAACAAAGTACTGGTCTCTGTAAAGAGGTGGCTTGCTTCATATCCAGGCATACCCAGCATCTAGTGTTTGCAAATGTTTGAAGGGAGAAGGAAGTTATTGCTTGCTAGGGGGTCCCCACACATGGATATTTTAGCTGATGTGAAGGGACTGTAGGTCATAACTCATCTTCTGTATGTCTGTCTGTTTACAGATTGCTTGAGCTCCATTCTGAAGCCTTAAACTCTGCAAAGGGAAACTGAAAATCTTTCAATAAATATATTTTAGCTACTAAATTCTGATATTTAGGAACTACTTAACTCTTCCTACTAACACTTCAGACCAACTTTGCTGAATAGTCTCAGGAAAATCTGAGGACCTTTCCTCAAACCCAAAGTTTGTCACCTTGTCACTTCTGGCTTGCTAGCCTGTTTTTGCAGTGAGTGGAACAAAAGGTGTCACTGATGAAGTTAAGAAGTTATTTTCAATTTTGTTTCATGGGTGAGGTGTTAAGTCTCATGTATATGCAAGACAGGCTCATGTGCAAGAGCATAACATGGTGGCAATCATGTCTTCAAAGCAGTACTAATCAGTTGCTGAATTTAATGACATTGACTATATGGTCTAAAACAAACCCTGCAGTATCCTGTTGTATTGCTGGTTTAGTGATCCTGAAGAGCACAGCCAAATCTGGGAAGATACTGTTCCCTCCACAGAGAATTAAATGAACATTTTTTACAATATGCCTCAACAATTAACTTATACCAGTGAGCTTCAACAATTAATTTATATCATTCACTTGTAATATCATTAGGACCATGGTTATGCAATATTTTCTACTAATTTTAGGATTAGTTTTAGGGTTACAATGAGGTTGACCCTTCTTAAAAAATTAGATTTCTTCATATCAAGCCACTGACATTACAAAGTATCTTACTGTTTCCTGCCATTCCTTTCTCAATGCTAAAAAAAATTATCATGACTCTCTAAACACTTCCCAGTCCAACTAATTAACCCAGCTGTTTTGGCTTTTATCCAGTAAACAAAACAAATACTATCTTTTGTGTTTTAGGCATATTGCCCTTAATGTCTTGTTTTGCCAAGTCAGAGTTTCCAATCCGCGTGGCCTCTCAGGAGCACTGTGCAGAAACCAAAACCTACACCTGGCCAACACACTCTCAGTAACAGAAAATTCTCAGTGCCTGCTTGGAGCCTTGTCAGAACTTCTCAATCAGCAGTGTTTTTCACCCTCGAGAATATGCATCAGGCAAACATTTCTGCTACATGGACTGAACATAGCAACTTAGGAGCCTTTTTTCAGGCGAATGTCTGGTCAGTTGCCTGGCTTCCTCGTTGATTTTTCACCTTAAGCTGAAGGTCCAGTCAGAAATATCACATCATTCTGTTCCATTCGTCCATGTGTTCAAGGGCACAATCAACAAGTTCATCTTTCTAATTTTTTCCAGATGTAGAGATGCTTCAGTCCAAACCAGACACTCCAGGTGCTGGAGATGAAGTTTCTCTAACTACAAAAGACTCAATGCTCCGCAAGTTTTTAGAAGGTGAGACATATTTGAAGAGGGGGATGGCAACACCACAGTTAAAGCAATTAAAGGGAACTTGAAATTTCTCTTTGATCTGCTAAGGATAGGAGGTCAACTGTGCTGTTTGACATGGACAGCTTTGTCTTGGTGGGGGTGAACAAGAACAACAGAAAAAGTATCTTGTGAGGTGATTTCACAAATGTGGTTAGTTTCTAATCAAAAAGGGGTGATTTCTAGAATCAGTCCCTGTCTGCCAGTGAGTGCAAGCACACAGCTGGTATTTATTCAGGAATGGCTGTCTTTTCATTATCTTTGTGATGGAAATTAATTCTGGTGTCTTTATGTGGATTCAGCCTCCCTTCATGGGCAGAGGCAGAGTATTAGGTAGAGCAGCACAAGCTAGTGATGAATTTTAATGTAGATGCTTTATTCAGAAGCCCATTCACTGAAAACTGAAGCCTGAAAAGAGGAAAATAACTGCTGGCTCCTCAACCTGATTTATGCTCTGCCTCTTCAGTGCTCCCTCTGCCTTCCTGACCAATGCCGGACCCTACCTTCATGCTATCCCCACCGAGCACAATCATGTTATCCAAGCATTTTCCTGACTCACCAGGTTTCATGGGATACAGACTCATGTTTTGTGCGTGGCCTAGCTGGAGTCAGAGCAGGACAAAGTCTGGGGCTCTTAACATCTTGTTTTATTTTCCCTGCCAACACTGATGCTCTGGCAGTCCCGTGGCATTGGTTCAACTAGCTGTTACAACATCACTAAAGGAAAGTCAATCCAGTGGCCAGGGTGTTTACTTGTGACTTGGTAAATGAGTAGGGAGTTAGTCCAGGGGCTCTTAAGTATTTTTGCTAGCAAGCTGGGCTTGTAACTGTTATAATATGTTAATTAACTGGAATTAATTGAACTAACTGTTCCTTGAGTTTTTAAAAACAGTTATGAGACTTTCCACTATGGTTTCTTCACCAAAACAGATGGTACACGCTTAGTGGCAAACACTTACATGCAGTTACTAGATGTTAATGACATTATTAAGTCCTGTCTTGAAGTGCTTTGGCACTTAGTCACTGCAAAACTGGATATTTTTGCCTGTGAAATGGCCAGCTTGGTAAGAGTGTAGTACATAGTGAGTCTGGAGAGACCCAGTATCCAGTGACGTGGCCAGGTTGTTTTTCTTACAAACTCTGCTTTGTTGTAGGTGGTAGCACAGATGTGCCATATTCAGAGGAAGGAGATTACCAGAGTTATGGTGAAGATGTGTACTACTCAGTGGAAAAAGACACTCTTTTTTTTTTGGCTAGCAGACCTCCAGTTCCTGTTCCAAGACCAGAATCCAGCTCTCCACAGCCAGACAATGAACTATACATCTCCAAAAGTGAGTTGGGTACCAGGGCCGAAACTGTAGACTAGTCAACGGTAGAATGGCCTTGACATGGGTTCCAGTTGCCAAATAAACACCCAAGATAAGACCCCTGGGTTATTTGGACCTGGATTACCTTTGGGATCCAATTTTAGATTTGTTTTTCACCTTTTGCCTACTATGAAAATGTGGACGTGTTGTATCCGGAGGTCTTAGCCTGAGGTTACTCTTAATGAAAGCAACAGGATGACAGAGTACCCCCAAATTATGTAAATAAATCCAACTACATAGGAAAGATCCTGGTATTATAAGGACACAAGCTAATAAAATTAGACACTTCTGCTCTGTAATGGTATAATTGGTTCAATACCATTTGTACAGGACATGATTCTACACCTCAATACCTCCCTCTGAGGTTGGGGTTTAATTGAAGAAGATCGTGCCTCTTTTTTGCTAGGCAGTGTTGGAAATCTTGGTCATATTTCACAAACATTCCAACAAGAACTGCAGTAAGGTGTGGAAGAGTAATTTCAGTGACTCCTTCCCCCCATGACAGGAATGTGGGGAAAGCATGTCTGAATTTTTTTAGAGGTGGCTGAACTAAATTCTTGAGGTCAAAAGAAGGAGGGGAGTTCTGCTGTACAACTCATTGTCTGGTTTTCTTCAATGGACCTAGTAGGGTAACAGAAGCTGTAATGCTGTGCAGAATTGTGTGTGCTTCCCATACTTTTACTTGTTATTTCTTTATTCATAAAATGCATTTCAGTATCTAAAGACTGTTTGTTTTACAGTTTTTGCACAGAAAGCTCAAAGACCTGAGAACCTCTATGTCCCCAGAGGAAGGATTAAGAGAGGTAAGTCAGAAGTTCACCCTGAACATCATCTCTGTGAACCAAAAGAAAATCTGCTGAGATAGCTTCATTTGTATGAAATTTGTCTTTTTTACAATAGGTCCTGTATGAATGACCAAAACGTTTTGACCTTATGTGACAGTGGAAACGTTTTATAACTGCAGAGTGTGAGGGGGTACCCTTTCCTCACATACAGTACATATCCTGTCTTGCAGTTTATCCTCAGTCAGGATAATGATGATTGCTGAAGTCCTTTTTATGTTGTGACCCATATTACTTCATGGAGTCATTGTTCCACTTTTGATCTTGTGGATATGGCCACTGCCTGTTGATAATTATTTCCTGAGATTTAACCTGTACTGAACTGCTTACCATTGATCTCTGCACTTCCAAAACTGTGCCCATATTCTTCAACCTGTTACCCTGTGCGGTATCAGGAAGCACACCTGAGCTTTTATCTTGTGTTGGGAACTCCTCTTTACGTTGTAAATGAGTTCCAAAGAGCCAGCATCAGAGGGTTGAGGTACTACCTTTCTGTTTCTGGAGTTGCACTGTTCAGATTACCCAGGATGAGACCAGCTTTGTGACTGCCAAGATGAAAGCTCTGTTTTCTTGGATTGCTGAGGAGAGAGAGATTTCTGCAGTGAAAAAGCATTTTAAGGAGTACATTTTGTGCTTCACTTAAATTGTTTTTAAGAACAGAGTTTATTCCTGGGATGTATTTGCATACAAGACTACCTCTCAGCTGGGCTTTTAGCCCTGACAAATAGCAGGATGGCATAAGGACAAAACATGCTTCTGGTTAGGGAAACATGCACTCGGTAATACAGATTTTTTTTGCATCTCTGCTATATCAAGGTTGTTTGGCTTGGTATTCAGTGACAGGCACAGATGCCACAAGTTCATTAATTTTTTGTGTGTGGTGTTCTCTCTTCAGAGACGATAGTCAGACCTGTAAGGGACCTGTCTCAATCAAGCATATATGATCCATTTGCTGGAATGAAAACCCCAGGTCAACGACAGCTGATTACATTGCAGGAGCAAGTGAAAATAGGAATACTCACTGTTGATGAAGCTGTACTTCATTTTAAGGAGTGGCAACTGAACCAGAAAAAGAGATCAGAATCATTTCGGTTCCAGCAGGTACGGGCTCATTTCACTGCTTAAGAAATTCAGCTATCCCTGTAGGTATGTGTCAGTTTCCTGGTTGGAACAGGAAGACTGTCAATACAGCCCCCCAGCTAGCAAAGATCTCTTCTGCCATGGAGGTGCTTTTCCCATGCAGCAGCAGACAGGTAGCTGTTTTACAGATCTGTTTGTCTTGCAGTAGTATTGGTAGTTTTTGGAGATCTGTACACTAGAAACTAGGCTAAGTGCAATTGTCTAAATTACCTTTCTAGCCTCTAGCTAGGTCATCTAGCATGTACTTGTTGGCAGGGGACTTCTGTGGGGAACATTTAGCTTGCCAGTTCTCATCCATTTCAGATCAGTGAACACTCAGTGTCCCAGATGGTGTATTTGCTTTAAAGTCCTATCTTATAGATGGTCTTATCCCTCCCTGTGTGTTTGACTCCAGGACTAACTGTTCTTTGCAGCTGGACAAGGTCTAACAATAGTAATTAGTGGAAGCACAGTGTTTGTGTGGCTTAGCTGAATGAGGGGGTCATTATGTTGGCAGCAGAAACATAATGACTGGTAGAACTACCAGTCATAGTTTCAAATTCCCATTCCCAAGTTAGAATGGGGCTCCCTCTTTAAAACCACTGCCTTCTTCTTTTGGACCCTTTTGTTCATGCTGTGACAGTCTGCTCTCGCACTTGGTGCTGGTCTCTGCTGTGTGACACTGTTTTGGGAGCTGTCAGAACAAAGCCAAGACTTTTCTCCTCCTCATTCTCACTTGGAAGGGTCTTCTCTACCCAGAAACAGTGAGAGGAATCCCTTCTGTCAATAAAGAACACAGTGCTTCTTCAGTATATGTCTGTAGCAGCAGTGAAGTGGCATGCTTTGGGCCCCATCCCATGAGCAGCTTTTAAAGTTTCTGTTCCAGATCTTGCCGCATGGTACAGCAATTGCTCTGTCTGCTTTCCCCCCTATTTAGGGGTTTCATTTTCCTTGTTGAAAAAGCTGTAGTCTGTTTTTTTTCCTCCCCAACTTTCCTTACTGTAAGGTGCAGTATGCTGCTATACAATGGTGAAGAGACTTTGCTCCCAGTTATATTTCCAGGTGCCCCCCTTGCTTCAGTGGGGACATCCTGAATTATTTCTGAATTGTCCCTCACATTGGGCAACCTCTTCTGTCCCTGTAATAGGAATTACCTGCTCATTAGTACAGAAAGGACTGCGCAGTTATTTGATCATTGGTCTTGTTTCTGTGCCAGTGTCACAGTGGAAACAGAGGGAGTTCTAAATGAAATGAGCTGTTTATCTGCCACTGCCACTGAGTCTGTGACTTGACCTTAACATACACAATGAACATCTGAAACACTTGGCTTCTGAAAGGCACACATGGATTCTAAAGGCAATAGATTAAAACTTGTTGACATGGTTTGGACTTCAGCCTGGACAAGCAGGTTTTGTTACAGCTTGGTTGCAAAGTTAACTGAAATATAATGGTATTGTTAGAAAGCTACTCATCCTCCTTTAACCAAAGCCCTGAAAATAATGTCTTGTGATCTTCTTAGGAAAATCTGAAACGGCTGCGTGACAGCATAACCAGGAGGCAAATGGAGAAGCAGAAAAAAGACAGAAGTGCAGGTAACAGTCTCTGGTTCTGACATTCTCTGGTAATCATGCAGTGATTCTGACATTCTCTGGTAATCATGCAGCTAACAATACTAATAGGCTCTTCAGGCACAAAAGTTTCCATGTGCATTGATTTATGTGGTATTTTAATATTCACATCCATGTGCCTGTTGACTAAAACATTCATGCTATACTTCTCAATTTCCCAGACTGCAGGGAAGATGCCCACATCTGTGGAGTGAGTCTTGATTCATTAATTTACAGTGATAATTGCCCTTATATGATGGTGTTTAACTTTGTTCTTGGGCGCAAAGCTGTCTCTCAGAGGCTGTAGTTGCAAAGCCTCTTCTGAGCTGTTACTTTTCCCTTTCAGATTTGGAAATTACAGTACCCATTCGACATTCTCATAATACTTTGGGGAAACCAGAATGTGGAATATATGAATACACCCCCAGGAAAAATGTTTTCCCACCAAAAAGGGAGATAAAGCGAGGAGACTGGAAAACAGAAAGTACATCCAGCACAACAAGTAAGGAAACCTTGAGTGTTATCCTCTCTTCAAGAAAGCTGGGTGGAAAACACTTCTCCAGCCTGAGTCTGGAGTCAGCTCAGGGAACAGGACTTCTGTTTCTGAATCCCAGTATTAACATGCCACCCCAACCCTGCACGTTCTAGGCTGGCTGTTGTCAAAACCACAAAAGCCAACTCCAGCTACATCAGGATGTTTTGGCATCGTGTGTCTGCATCTCTGCAGGGGGAAAACCTGAAAGCTGAGTGAAAAATTCCCTTGAGCCTTCTCAGGGAAGGCTTATCACCTGTGTTCAGTTCTTAAAAGTAGATGGCAGCTGCTTTCTTAGAAAAAAGGGTGCTCCCTTGCTGTGACTCTCAGCAGGCAGTGTGTTCTTCTGGTCTGAAGGGCACAGTTATATTGCAGACTGGGAACCAGTCTCTAAATGTTGTTTCCTTGGCTATTGCACATAAAGAACAGCATTTTTCATTGGTAACTGTGGGACCTCTTGAGTGACTTGGACAGTCTGCATATTTTTACTGTCTTTGCTTTTTATTAGGTTTAGTTTGTTCAAATTAAATTCCTGCATTCCTGCTATTACTGCAGACTGAGTAATTTTTACTGAAATGATTAAGATCATTTTGGTCCTCTGAAACAAAAACTGAGTCCCACTCAGTGTACTATCTTTGTGGCTCTTGGAAACATATAGCTGGCACACATCCAGAGTAGGTGCCAGAGACAGTCAACCAAGCCAGTAACTTGCATCCAAGCAGTTGGGAGAGAAATGCTCACTGTGTGCAGCTTGGCTCTCTTCCCCATGGCATGATTGTGAGAATGGACCCTAACACAGTATTTAGCACTCTTAAGTGCTACTGTTTGTACCAGCTGATAATTAGAGGTACCAAGGCTAGGGAGGTACTACATCTTAGGCAAAATTCTCTAGTCTCCATTTCAACATAAAGATTTCTGAACATCAGTGTTCCAGTATTGCACAGCCCTATAAAATAGTATATATGACTGAAATCAGCCATAGCAGTGTAGGTAGGATATGTTTGTGAGTTGCTATCCCTTCAGAGATGGCATGACTGATAGCAGAAACATTTTCTACTCTGAGTCCCTGCAAGTTAAATGGGTTTGCATGAATGGTTACTGAAAATTGTTTGGTAAAACTTTTAATTTTTAGCTCTGAAATAGACTAGGAAAGGTTCCTGTGATTAGTAAAGATTGTTGTGTGAGGGGAAGGTGTGAACACCTATTGGGAACAATTACCTCTCAAGGAGTCACTTATTCCAGGAATGAATGTGTGACTGTGCACAGAGCAATCTACCTCCCCACAGTTGTTAAGGACATGGGGACAGATAATTTAAATATACATAAATGTTGGGTGTGTAACACTTGCGAAAATATTTAGCTGACTTGCCAGCTGATACTAGCACTGGATCCTTTCAGTTAGATTATGATTATAAGTATTTAACCAGAAGCCTGGACTTAAGGCAGAAATCTGCTAGAAAGAAAGCAAAACTGAATGGTTTGGCCCTGAGGTCTGTGTTGTATGAAATGCCATAGTTTGGATCCTAAACATGTGAGAAGTAACAGTGGAAATAAATAAATCTAAACAAGCATGAAATGATATGTACAAGAGGTAAGCATGAGGTCAGGAGGAATCCTGAGATAGCGATTTACAGTTAAATGACCAGGAGTTAATAATCAGTTTATTTTCTCTTGCTTACTCGCTCCAGGTAGTGCCAGCAACCGCTCCAGCACTCGGAGCATATTGAGTGTCAGCAGTGGCATGGAAGGGGACAGCGAGGTAAGTAGGCTCTCAGCTCTGCCATATACTAGTCCACTGTCCTGAGGAACCTGGCTTTGTTTTCATGCAAAACAAAAGGATCTCAGGGATGGCATTGCATTTGCAAAAATGGCAAAATATAGCTGCTGCTGCTGTAAAGCTGCCAAGAACCAAACCCTGCTGTTCTGTAGCCCCTCTTCATTTTGTAGGACAATGAAATCACAGAAGCAACTAGAAGCCGCAGTCCAGTTGCCCACCAAGCAGAGAGGCTGCCTTTCCCAGAAAGGCCTCCCAGAGTGCCTCCTCGAGGTGCAAGCAGGTAAAGCTAAAATGCAGCTCAAACATGAGCTTTCACTTTATCAATATGGAAGGTTTGGGCAGGAAGGAAATGTGACTTTCAGCAAAACCTATCAGACAACCAATGCAAGTCTATGAAATATAGGCCTCAGAGGCTTACCAAAGTACATATGCTAATAAAATTATCCAACTGTTAAAATAATAAAGAATACATTGTGTGTGCAGTAGGTTTCATATGTTGGCTTGGCTGTGGCAAGAATATAGCTGGAATTTAGTTAGTTTGAAAAAAAATATTTTAAATATTTTGATCTTTTCCTGTTTCTCTTAATCTAATTTTCTTTGAGAAAGCTATTATATTATCAACTTTTACTCCAACCAAATATTATAGCATCTCTTTCAAGTAATAGAATTACTGCAGTTGAGAGCAGAAGAAATAACTTGGACAAGAACAGGGCTCTGGCACCTTGGCATCTGTTCTGCTGAATCACTGATAGCCTGTTTCTCTTCTTGTATGACTGTTGCTTGTACAGTATTTAAATATGATGTAATTGCATGCCATATGTTGTTCAAGAACCCTATTCTCTGCTGCTTTGTTTTGATGCATTTGTATTCTCTTTTTATAGGCCTGTAAGCAGTGAGGGCTTTTATCCTCCACCTGTGCCCCCAAGAGGTCGTTGATTTTTCTCAACATCTGTGGGATAGGAGACTTTCTGTTTGTATGTGTGTTTGTACAGACGTTTTTGGATTGTCTTAAATTATTTATAAGGGGAAGAAAAACGTTTTCTTCCCTTTCCTTGTCCCTAAAGCTCTGGTGACTTTTCCCATGATTTTCACTGAGACTTCTTAGTGCTCTATAACTTTTCTGCTTGGAAGAATTTTGGTGCTTTGGGACTTCAAGAAAAAGTATCGTGGTTGGGAAGGAGAACACTGATGTGTGTCCTGGCTGCCCTGCACCAATGTGAAGTTTCCCTTTGGCCGAGAACGAACACGTGTCCTTTTAGAAACTAAATCCTGATAAGCATTGTTACCAGAACCCTTGACACAACCTACAAGGGCTTGACTGCAAAACATGCTTGAAAAAGTACAGAAAATAAGTTGTTTGAAGACTTTGAAGGACAGTCATTACATCAGGAGCAGGTGAATGTACTGCTGTTTGGTGTAATATTTTGGGTATGGACATACTGACCTTTCAGAAAGTGTACAATCTCCCTCTAGCAATCATTAAACCATGGGAGGATGAGAAGTTGTCTTTATTCAAGAACTTATTTTGCATACAGCCTTGAAAACTCCTTTCCCTTTCCCCTTCATCTCTGAAGAGGAGACATTAACAAGGTGTTGCGTGTGCTGCAATTACCATGAATGTTCCAAGGCAGCTCGTAAGGGATCTGCTGTATCTCAAAACAACTGGACTTAAACCTTTTTTGGGGGAGTTTTTTTGGGTAGGTTGTTACTTGAAAAATCACGACTGACCTCTCAAATTAGAGGAAGGAATTGGCAGCAATGCTGTGTTCTGTATCTCTTACATGGGTTTGTTGTGGAGATGATTGTGTCACCATCCCTGCAGGTATTAAAAAAGCATGTAGATGTAGCACTTCAGGACATGCTCTAGTGGGCATGGTGTGTGTGTTTTTCTTTTTTCTGGGTTGACAGTTGGACTTGGTGATCATAGAGGTCTTTTCCAATTGTGACAATGCTGTGATTCAGTCTTTCACTCCATGCTCTGCAGTAGGATAGCAAGTCTCTAACTACAAATGCACACACCTCACACACACCACTCGAGTTCTTGGCCTGCTGTTCTGACAGTAAGGAGTCTGGGGACTGGATTCTGCTTGCTCTATTCTTCTGTTCTGTCAACGTGAATCTGCAACAGCTGTGTCCAGCCTTTTTTCTGCCTGAGGGCTTGCAAACTTAAACATCCTGGTTTGTTCTCTGTGTTCCAAATATAGAAAGCATGTAAAGCAAAAATTCATTTTGATTCCTCATCTCAAGGGTCTCAAACTATGGAAGTGAGGTGGTTTTTTTGGTTTTGTTTTTTTTTTTCTCCTTCCAGGTCTTGAAATCTTCTGTGCATATCCTGGCCCTTGGGGAACAAGTATAGGGCTCTAGTTGTTCATGAGGGATGCAGATGGGAATTCTGCAAGATTAACATTCAGGGCAGAGAATTAAGCATAATTGCCCTGAAAGAGACATAGATACATCTGTATTAGAATACATAAAGCTTCTGTACAGGCTTGTAAGCTGCCCTTAGTCTGTAAGAGAGCAGGTGGTAAGAGTTGTAGCTCTTGTCTCTTGCAGGGTGGCAAAGCCAATGTGTGGAGCTGCAGGAGTGACAGATGGTAACTCTGACTCAGCCAGCCCTCAATAAGGTGGAAAAGCCCCTCCCACTCTCAGGGGTATAGGTGTAAGCTAAATATCACCTACACATTAAATTCATAGGTTGTGACTGTAAATGCAGTTCATCTAGCCTCTCCTTTTGATGCTAGGGGGATGCACATGTTGTACTGCAGGCGTTATAGCTACAGAGGTGACCTTTTTGTTTTTTAAAGGACCTCTGTGCCTTTTCCTGTAACTCTAACACTACAGACTCTTACTGACAGTTTGCTCTTCATTCACAGTAGCAAGGGATAAGGTGAGGTGGGAGCTGCTTTTCTTGAAACAGAATAAAATCCCCAGCACTGTGCAGTCAATTTGGAAGCAAGGAAGGAGGTTTTGGTGCTGAAATGAGGGAAATAGTAGCATGGATAAGTGAAGGAAACTGGGATAAAATAAATAAACTGAAAGAGGCAATTCAACAGCTTGATTGTCTTCAGCTGTCACACATGGCTTTGCTCTGTATGCAGCTCCCTGGTTTTGCTTTAAAGCTCCCCATCTCCTTAGTGCTGGCTGCAGCTGTGCTCCAGAGTTTGGAGCTGTGATGTGATAAGAGGAATTTATTCCACATCTGCCAGGCACAGCATAAGGTAGAAATTTAGGACATGGGGAAAACTACCAAGGCAGGAAGGGAAGAACAGATTACATTTCAAAACTGCAGGACTAAAGAAGCCCAGGTGTCAGTCTTCCCCAGCTGATCTTTAAGTCTGCACCCCCCTGCATGCAATAGTCAAATGTCTTCTGGGTGAGGGGTTTATTTGAACTGTATCTGAGTGTTTGCCTTTGCACAATCCTAATACGTGGCTGTGACCTGAGTTTTTATTGCTAGTACTGCAGTGAGATGGTTTATAACTGAATTGCTGAAAAGTAGCTCATAAATAGTAGCCTTTTAGTTCCTCTTTCTTTTGCAGCTTTGATACTTCTTTAGTTTAACCTGTCATACAAAACCAAATGCTACTGGGACTGTGGTTTGGAGGAGAGATGAAGTGGGACAGGTGGGCTGTCTCTCAGGCCCCTTCTGCACTGTGTTGGGAAGATGGAGCTGTAGTCCCAGGCATTCCCTTCCCACTTCCCCTTTGTAACTTCTCCCGGATTAGTAGGGGATCTCACTGACCAGCAATCTCAGCAAAACTATCACCCTATCAAGGAGAGAAGGAACAGCACTACACTGGCTTCTCTGTTAAATGCAGGTGAACAAATGGGATGCAGGCATTACTTCCATGTCTCTTGCAGGTCAACGGAGCCGCACCTTCTCAGCTGCCAGAGTGTGTGTTCATTCAGTTTGGTTTCATTCGGTTGCTTTGATCCCCATGGCTCAGCATATGGAGTCCTGGGACAGAGACTCCAGTTGTACTGGTGAGCCTGTGGTCTGTAGAGCTTCCAGCAAGGATGAGAAGTGCACTGAAGCTCAGAAGAGCCTGGAGAAGGAAACTGTGTGCAACCAGATTGGTGGTTACTCAAGAATATACTTGGTGGGGAGAGCAGGAA